GAGGTTGGGGAGGAGATCGTGGTTTTGTGTGGAAGATCAGTTGAGGACTTGAGGTTAAGGGCCTTGAGGCATTGAAGAGATTAACCGAAACCGTAGATTTTTTTTTTTATATAATTATGATTTATATAGCACAAACCATGTGGCGTAATATGATTGGTCAGGTGATTTGTGATTTAGTATATTAAGATTAATTATAATTTCCTTATACCTTAGAAAATGTTATATTTTTGGCCGGTGGGATCACGTTTTTGAAGCTAAAGTTACATTCACACATTTTTTTTTGGGAAAATTATAAAAATACTTCAAAACAAGAAGATACTACGCCTAAAGAAACTTGTGAACAACAATTCTATGGTAGAACAAAACTGCAAAAAAAAAATTGAAATTAATAGATAAGTAAAACTGTATTAAGGAGGAGCAACGAACAACACCATGGTCTTTGATCCAGACAGGGATGGGTCTCTCCTTGTTAGAGGATTATAAGGATCCCCATAAAAGTAATCATGAACCACAACATAGAATCCAGAAGCTGCAACCTTGTCCGCAAGCGCCCATTCACATAACATTAAGACTTTAACTCCGTAAACATTCATTTGTAGTTCTGAATATAATCTCGGAAAGAAAAGAAAAAAAACAAAGTGGCTGTAGCAGAGAATGCAACCAAACAATGACTCAAGCAACAAAAAAAAAAAAGAAATCAAGAGTCAACAACCCACCCAAAGAAAAATGATAAGGTTCATCTCGTACAAATGCAAAACCAGACATGCAACACAAATACAAAACTAACGATACCAGAAACAAGTATTGGAGCAAGATACTCAAATTGAAACTAAACATCATAAGTGGCTACTAAAAATTACGCAAGTCCTTCGGAGTAACAAACCCAATTAATAAAGTTTCCAACTTGAATCGAAGAAAAGGGAAGAACTTGTAATACCTCACGTTTGGAGCTTCATACCCTGAAGAACAAAAACGAAGGTCAAGTCATAATACAGTGACGAAATTTTCAAATCAGCAAATGGGTCTAGATGAAAACCCCTAAATACTCGATCATGTTCTTAACTAAAACAAACATGAATTCTCGCAGGTGCGACGCAATGGAATTGAAATTGAACTTCATAAAAACAAACCTAGATTCGTACCTATCAGCCATGGTAGCTATGGTCTTAAACGCGACAATGATCACACGATTGGAGTTAGATCCACGATCTGCTAGAAGAGCATTCGTCAGACCACCGACACGAACGAGATTGTCACCACCGGACTCGTTCGCGAAGGTACGACACTCAGAGGCTTCATCGATAGAGTGTGATTCGAGCATAAAACCAAACTCCGAATATATTGTATCTCCGGCGGAATTGTCGAACTCAACCTATGTATACTGTATACGATGACAAGAAAAGAGAAGAAATATCTTCCACGAAACATCTTAATTTTGCTATTAGGATTAATTGTAGTAATGGTTTAATCGACATTTCACTCATTATTTGACCTATTTTTTTAGTTTTAAAATTTTTGGTGTATTTCTTTAATTTATCTAAAAAAATAGCCTATTTCTTTAATTCTCCCTTTTTTTGTTGTTGTTGTTTTTTGGGGTAAAATCATTCACACATTTGTCATTAATATTTTCACTTTCTTAGTTATAAACTTATAATGGTCCTATACCTTTTTACAATGAAATAGCGCTAGTATGACAGTAACATGCGGAAAAAAATGTGTCAACTCTGAAACATTACACCAATTTAACATAGATGAATATATAACACAAAATATAAATTTTACGTTAACAATAAAGCCCAACATATATATATTCAAAATTCTTTTTTTTGGCTCGATTTTCGGTTGGTTTTAAATGGTGAAGGGAAATTCAAACTTGGTTATCGTATGTTTACAATGTTTAAGTGCGTTAAATTGAAAATTATATTT